GTCACATTCACATAGTGGCTGATTTCCAGTGTTGCCGGGGCCTCGAGCGGCTAGTTTCGGTTTTGTTGGCCGCGCCCAAAACAAAACTTTAAAGGGTTGATATCTTTAAAACTACGCACAATAACGAGAAAAAAATTACACCTTGCAATTCAGGGATGCTGACGGCACTAAAAACAGTCATAATCCCAAAATCGAAAGTATAAACCGGAGTTGCCCTTTCTGGTCAGGAACTATTTTAGACGCATGGGCCCCGAAAAAGTAAAATTTTTTGGACGTACAAAGGTAACGTCTCGCACTGAACATAAGAACAGGAAAGTCCGGGAGATTGTTTATGTACAAACTCCCGAACAATGTTTGTGCCGGAGCGGCTCCGCGGCCGCTGTCTTGCGCAGTCGTTTCATATACATCACTTCTTTCACTCAAGTCAAAGACATTGCCTTTCCATCATCTGATGGAGGGATATAGTCTTCTTCACTGAAATCGTCGTCACTTTCAGTTACATCACGCAGAGAGTTACATTAAACGAGCGTGGCTGGAATGTGGCTATAACCGTCGTGCCAGCGAAGTTGAAACTTGCGCACTCCTCCGTTGCGCAAAAAAAACATGTGACGTAGAACATGTATTTTTTCTTTTTTTTTTTTATGACAAATCCTGTCCTCCATGAGAAGAAACTCAAACCCTTTCAAAAGTGATGTGATTGAAGTGTTTTCCAAGAGATGGTGCCACCAATCCAGCAAAAAGAGCGAAGGAGCATGTTTAAAAGGAAGCGGGAACGCATGTCAGGCGACGCCCGACTCCTAACCGGAAGCGCTTTTCTTCGATGTCAGGCCGACCCATGACCGCAAAGGGTTACAAAAAACAAGCACAACGTTTTTGTGAGTGATGTTTTTAAAAAATAACTGTGGCTCAAAGTTGCCTTTTATATTAAAAAAAACAAAAAACTAAAATATTCAAAAACAAGTTTGGAGCTTCACATTACAGCTTGGGCGGCGTGCATCAGGGCTGTTCACCACCTCTCCGATTCCTTTCTTTTTTTCTCCGGATCTTTAGAGGCTGCCGCAGAAAAAGGTTCTGCGTTCACCAAAGTAAATGTCGTGCTGTCTTGGCTGTGCAGGCATGCAACATTGTGTTCCAAAGCGCCGCACACTTAATTTAGCTACACTGAGCTCGCCACTACCGACGCTTCTATCCAAGTGTGACTCGACAGTTGCTGACGAGCAAATGCTCTTCAGCAACTGTCGAGTCAAACTTGGATAAAAACGTCGGTATCAACAAGCTCAATGCATCAGTTGCTGACGCATTAGCTCCTCCCGCATGGAATACGCGGCAAAGAAGTTTGTCCCATCGCGGCAAATTCAGGCAATTGATTAATTGGTTCTATCCAATTTTTACTAAGAATTGTTTACAAATGTAAAATTGCTCGCTGAAAAGTGCATCACACATTATGCACAATTGGGACCGAAAAATTAAACATACCAACAGTAGGAATTCATAGCAGGTGTATACCTAATTTTCTGCGAAAGAGAATTTGCTGCGACTGGTTTTGCTCGCGAAAACCTGGTGTGCAAGGTGGTGCTTCGAAACACTGAGGTCTAAGCCACTGCATCAGGATGGATACACTGAGGTTCGAGGACTGACCAATGTAAGACCGCTCGCCACGAAGTAGGACATGACGTTTTGGCAAGCCACTCCGGAAGACGGGAAACTTGTCATCACGTTTTGCGATAATCGGGATGCCGTATTATTCCCCATAAGACGCCTTGGATATGAAGTTACAAACATCCTCAAAATCGGCATAAAATTTCGTGGTGCTCACCTAGAATTCCTCGAACGACCCAAAAAAAAGGAACGATTTGAGAATTCTAAGTTCGAAAAATGTTTAATGTTGATTGTCATGACTGTTTGCGGAAAGTTGCCAATGGCAAATGAAGACTAGATGAAGCTTTAATCAAGAAATAGAGCAATCGTCTCCACTTTCACCGTGTTTATCTCCACGTTTTACGCTCAAAGAGCAAAGCACGAAAAGTGTTTCGTTGACAACTCCAGTGCCACTAGGAAACAAGCTTCCTTGTCCCCATGTTCTGCGTCGTGTCCGCCAGTTGGGACGGCGGACTCTGACAAACAGGCTGTCTCTCGTTGTCAAGTGTCGCTGTCGTTTGTTGCTGTTTTGTCGCTCTAGTGGGACGTGGCTATTAGGTTAGGTGGCGCAAGCTACGACTTGTTACAAAGGGTACAGCCATTTACACCCATCCATCCATTCAGGGGGAATTCCTCTAGCTACCTCGCTTTCATTGCCCTCGTGGACAATGAAAGCGAGGCCCATAGCTTTCAGTTACAAAATAATAGTACAAATCCAACTCCAACTCCAAGTACAAATAATACGGTCCAGACTAGAAACCTGAAGTGTTTTTTATCCCGACTCAGAAGTACAATGACTTGCCCTGATTGAATGCTGATGAGTTAAACGGTAAGACATTGATTGTGAATGACCCGAGATTTGCAAGGAAACTGGGATGGCATTTTAGAGGCGAAGCTCCTTAGGGTCTAGCCTTGTCCGGCGTCCGTGCTCACATCGATTGCACTGCCTCCGGGATCGGCCTACTTTAAGAAAAAAAACGTACGCCCGCACGGGGTTCCAACTCGGGACCGCTTGCTTAAGAGGCAGACGTCTTAACCACTATGCTACACTCCAACGTTGCACGTAGCCGCTCAACGTCTGTACAGGAGAGGGTGCTACGGTCGAATGCTCAACTGCATATATAACCACGATCCATACCACACATTCTCTTTCTGACGTGGACCGTTGACTGAAACGTTGGAGATGCGTTCCCAAAGCTTCCAGCAGATCCAAGCTGATCCACTAGAGCCACTGGCTCTGCATGTCACTGACCATAAAGCAGCAATAATGAAGTCGAAACGCTACCCGGAGCTCGGCACTACCTATGAGCAATAAAAAAAATATCAGCACCATCAGCAGTACCTATGAACAATAAAATCAGTATCATCAGCACCACAAGAGCTTCGCCCCAATCAACATCATTCACCACGTAGAGATCTGGCCACTTTTTTTAGGACTATTGACCTTCAACAATTACCAAACTTATAGTTGTATATTACATTCTTTTTTATATTTTTTGCATTGGGTGATTGAAATATAGTTTAGTGAATAAATCCAAATTGACAAAAATTTTATGGGTGGACGTTTTTCTGGGTTTATTAAAAAACACAGAATCCTAGTATACTTAGGCATTCAGTTCACTGCTATCAGACGTCAAACTTCCTGATCATTATCCAATTCAACTGAAAACAAAAAAACAAAAAAAAGTCATTTTTAAATTACTTGAAACCCTTAAAGGAGCAATGCAACAGTTTTTGTACTTTGCGCAAATACTGCTTAAAACGGATCCCTAACGTTAATGACCTATGAAACACGCGTTCGTTTTTCAACCCACGGATTAGAAGTGACAGAAAAAAATTAAAGAAAAACGAGCACCGTTCACCCCCTCAACTCGCAGCCAGAACAAGCGGCCACGTGATCTGGAGCCGATTATATGCCGCCAGTGTTGATCATAGCCACGCGCTGGGGTTGGCAAAGCGCAGGACACGCGCTGAGTTCCAGACATTGTTATGGCTCGCCTGTTGTCGTCGTTGCACCGATTGGACACGGGTCACAACCAGAATGCTTCTCGAGCTAGCAATTGTCACGAGCCCAAGTCGAGTGCCCACGCAATGCTCGGGTCCAATCTATTAACCGCATTCAAATATCGTCACTTGGGTGTACTGCGATCCCCGAGTTACGTCATCAAATTTTGCAAAGGAGAGATTGAATGAAAATGATCGCTTTTGTCCTTGAAATTACACCACAACAAAGGAGTTTCTTGGCCAATGGCGTTGCGTGTGAGTATCCTTGAGTCCGAGGTGTGCCAGTAAGCTCGTGTAGAGAGAAAAACATTCCAATTGAACATCGTTGCACAGCTCCTTTAAAGGGTGAGCACTAAGCCGCTTGGAATGATTTCATATTGCGACTAACTTAAACATTTTCAAGATTTTGCATCATGACCCCTGAACTAAAGCAGAAACGTGCCGAGTGTTCTTCAGATACACAAAAAAAAAAAAAAGTCTCAAAATACTACGCAAACATGTCTCATCTGGTGTCAAATTGCTCGATCACAGTGCTTGCACGCAACCTACTGTCTCATGAAAGCAGTTCACCAAATGACAAGGCCTAAAACCCCTCCCTTTCTTGATACCGTGACCTCCGTTCGAAATCGGGATGCCGATTCAAACACCTTAGCCCTAATCTCTAAAATGACAAACTTTATTGAAAATAAAAACAAACAAACATTAAAAGTGATATGCTGAAAGACTCAAAAAAAAAAAAAAGGCAAAAGTGCTTGAACTTTAGGCGCAATACGAAAACGGACAAATAATAATAATAATATATTTTATTTCCATCACACTCGATGGCGGCGACCAAGGGAAAAAGCTGCATACACAGCTTGACGAGCCCTTGACTATTTACGGTGCACGGCGAAGGAACACAACAGGAAAAACAGAAAAAGAGAGGAGAAAAAAACACACACACACACAGAGGATGCAATACGTAAAAATTCACCATGACAGATAAAGCAATATAATCAAATAAAATACGAAAACAGTGATTTTAACTAATTATCATGACTACCCATAATATATAATAAACGGATTTCCCCTATTGACATTTTATTCCAGTCCAAGTTTTTCGATTCATGAAGATTTAGTAAATTAGGAATATTGTACCTCAGCATTTAAGTGCCATAATTTGTTCTTGGCGTGACCACCCCCCAACATTCAGCGCCACGAGTAGGATGAATAATATTTTTGGAGAGGCGGCCAAGGGTTACTATACTCGGCGACAACTTTTCTTGGCAATGCAGTGGAAGGTACGTCCCGCGTCCCCTCTCCCATTTTGAGTGTATGCAGGCTCTCCTCCTCTCCCATTTCCGGGGAGGGGAGGAGAGCCTGCATACACTCAAAATGGGAGAGGGGACGCGGGCCTGTACCTTCCACTGCATTGCCAAGAAAAGTTGTCGCTGAGTGTAGGAAGCTTGTGTTCCTAATTAGCTCTATCTTAAGGCTTGTACTGAGCCTGTAAGAATACAAAATGTGCACATTGATAATGCGGAACTTTTTGAATAGGTCGGATGTATGCGATTGAAATGGGACATCGGCTATACCTCTTATTGCTTTTTTTTGTTGTAACAAATGAACCCTTTCAAGATTCGTTGAAGTGGTGGTACCCCAAACTAAATTACAATAATTTAAGTGCGAGTAGAACAAGGAATTATAAACTAGTAACTTGACGTGTATCGGTAAGGTATAACAATGGCGGTTTAACATGCCGACAGTTCTAGACAGCTTTGTAATAAGGTAGTTAACATGTTCATCCCATGACATATCCGAAAAAATGACGCCTAGAATTTTAAAGGAATTTACAATCTCAATCTCGGCTGAGTCTAAACTAAGATCTCTCATAATGTTGATTATTTCATTTTTAGGGCGAAAAAGCACTGCTTTTGATTTTTCTGTGTTTATTTGAAGTGCATTATATGTACTCCACAAATTCAACCCGGAAAGCATTCGGTTTGCCTTATCAATTAATAAGTCGGTATTTTCTGCAGAGAAAAATATACTTGTGTCGTCAGCATAATTTACAAATTTCGCTTCTGAATCTTTGTTGATTATGTCATTTATGTATATGTTAAAGAGAAAGGGACCCAGTATACTACCTTGCAGTACACCAAAGTAAACGTATTGCAATCAATACTCCAGGTATGACTTTATTAGCTGCAAGGCATGCCCTCGGAAACCGTAAGTGTCCAATTTTGCTAGAAGTATTTTATGATTAAGGCAGTCAAATGCCTTTGAGAAGTCGACAAACACACCGAGAACCAGTTTTTTTTTTCTCGAAGTTTTGGAGAATAAATTTGTTTATAGATAATAAGGCAGCCTCGGTAGACCTATTTTTCATAAATCCAAACCGTGAGGTATTTATTAAGTTATATTTGTTTGAAAACGTCATAATTCGAGTATAAAGTATTTTTTCGAGAGCTTTAGAGAAAACTGGGAGTATAGAAACAGGCCGATAATTCCCCATTTCGTTTACGCTTCCTTTTTTATGCAATACTAACACCTTAGCTATCTGCATTTTCTTTGGAAATACGCTCGTGGATAAAGAGAGGTTAAAAACATGAAATAACGCCGGCGCTATCAAGCGAACAACGTACTTGACGGGTCTTATCTGAATACCATCCGCGTCACAGCTTCCACTATTGTTTAATTGTAAAATTATGGAATTTACTTCTGGTTCAACCACCGGCTCTAAAAATATGGAGTCATTGTTTCTTTTGTCGCTAAAAGCAGAAGAATGTAGAGTCTCATCATTACTTGCAATATTGATAAAATGCTCGTTAAAGGCATTTGCTAAAGAATATCCGGTAAGTTCAGTACCATTGAAAAAAATGTTGTCGATAGAGCTTGAGGGCTGTTTACGATTGAGAATATGACACCAGTCCGCAGGTGGAGCAGGTCGCATGCTTCCGAATGCGGGTTGCGTGTCCGGTAAAAACGCAAACGCAACATTGTCGTCGAAAAACAAAAAGCACGAGTTGACAGTTAAAACACTAAAAAGGCGCGAGGAAGAGAATGAGAATATCGATGAGTGAACGACTTCATCCACACACAACCGCGGACACAACAAACCGGAACGCGATCGAACCTGCGAGGCGACGCTTCCGAACGCTCGTCCTCCGCAAAGGAACATTACGCGTTGGCGAACGCGGGTCGCATGTCCGGTAACATCGCAAACGCAACTTTGTCGTCGAAAAGCAAAAAGCACGAGTTGACAGTTAAAACACTAAAAAGATAGGAGGAAGAGAGTGAGATTGTCGACGAGTGAATGTATTCGTCCGCACATGGCCACGGACGCAAAAAACTGAAATGCGATCGAACCTGCGAGGCGGCGCTTTCCTGCCTCTTGGGCCCGCGACCGCACATTCGTCCCCGAGCCGACAGTGCGGCGACAAGCTTCCACCGCACTGTCAGCTTGGGGGCGAACAAAGTGTTGGAAATGCAACGATGAAAAGCAAACTATCTACAATGTCGGAGAAATGAAGCTATGTACAGAGCACCGTCGGCGTCTGAAGGAAGTGGGCGGCTTCAGAAGGATGTGGCGAGGGAGGCGCCGAAGGCCTTGAGGAGGTTCTGGAGGAAAATCATGTCTTGCTTCATCAGGGTCTTTCTCTTGGCGTGGAGGGAACACTGGTAACTCGCAGACAGGAAATTCATCACGAAGACCTCCGACGCCTCCTGGAAAAGAGGTGACGCCCGTTAAACGCCGACGAATCGAGTCGACACGTTAGAACCGGGACAGTCTCACAATTTTAATGTCGAAAAATTTACGGCCCGCATTTTTTATATTGTTTCTATTGACACAAGAGAAGAAAATGTGCCACCTTCGTTCAAAATGCTGCAAATTTGCTGCATACGGTAGAATCTCGATGATACGACAACGGTTCGTCCGAATTTCGGTACGATACAAATTTTTCGAAATTCCCGGCCGAAGTTCGTTAAGACTTATCTATTACGTTTCGGGATAGTCTCCGAATGCTTTCTCGGCCGCGGTGGATCATGTGAACGATCATCAACATTTACACATCCTGTGGGGTGCCATCACTTGGCTCCTACAACTGTAGCAGGCTTTTTGAGTCATTTCTCTCGCCGTTCTTTCTACATACGCACCATGCAATCTCGATAACCGTAGGTGCGTTCCAAAACTCGAAAACATACCCACGTCCGGCGCTGCTCTGTGTTGTCGCGTGATGAGAATTTGGCTCGCTGGAGTAACTCGCGTTCGCTTACTCCAGGGTTGCTGCTTTATATTTATTGTCATGCGATAAATGGGTTTCAGTAACTCTGACTGACTCGAGTGAACGTGAGAAATGACATACAGAAGTGACGTTGATCATGGAATCAACGCTTATCTAACGGCTTTTGCAAGTGTGAATTCACAAATCCTACAGTGGCTGCTCCTCCGGAACCAGAGGAAAACTTGAGAATTGAGGACTGAGACCTGCTTTGGCTGAGAAATCGGCCTTTGATTTCATTACTGCAGATGACAGCCTCGCTTGCCGAGGCAATTGCTGACGAAGTGACGGCACCGCAAGGACGGTGAAGTAGCGGAGATAATGACGGCGACGTAAACTAATAACAAACAGCAACCGACGACTGCTGAAACACTGCATGCACTCAATGTGCTGCGCCGCATAGTGAGGCCGAGACCAACGTCAGCGACAACAGGTACGCTCGTTCTTTCGTGTTCTAAAAGTGCCGTTTGGGTGACATCGAAAAAAAGAAGACTCGGAAGAACAGTACCGACTTCCTTAGATGGGGGTGTGACCAATAAATTGCACGTATAGCCGCCCCTTTGCTTTAACGTAGTTATGCGACTTGTTTTTTGTTAGTATAAATATTGGACGACACATATATTTCCTGCAATCCCTCGAGATTCATATCACCGATATTCTACTGCAATTGCAAAAAACAAAACCATACTTTTTTTAATTTGCAGTTTTGTGTGGTTGTCATCGGAACTATGCTGTGACCTTTTTTGCGGTACGCGGGTTTTTGCGGCGCTATCTATCCATCTATCAGAAATAAGGGAAACCGTTTCCTCTCCTTCGGTACCTTTAACGTCTTTCCCTGCGGCAAGCCGTCCCCCCTCGATCCCTCGCCGCAACCTTCGACGATGGCAAGCGTGACCTTGAAAAGTTGACCAACGTGCAGGGAAGGCTGCTGGTCCCAAAGACGACACCGAACCTCACTCGAAACACTTCTACTTGTTCAATCTCTCTGTAGATTAAAAACTAGCGCACGCAAGAAAGAAAGGGTTCCCGCTCCTCGTATTATGGGTGGCCTCGACTAATTCCCACAAATAATTGGCCAAAGTTAGAAAATCGTTGCACCGCATCTTTAAAGGGAAGACACCGCTCTTTCATGTAATGGAGGACCGGCGGTCGGGTCTGTTAGTGCACTGCGGCTCGGAGAGTGAGAGCGCAAGCTCACACAGCAAGACCCAAGGTTCCTGGTTCTTGCGATCCTCCCCACTCCTGCCCGTTTCGATCTGGACAAGCATCCTACCGGCGTGCGGTCGTGTTTCACCAAGCGGCGTATGCCGAAGACCCAAGGCTAGCAGTGGTACTGACCAAATAGGCCACGTAAATCGATTCAGTCACAGGCCTACCTGGCCTACGACTGAATAGGCATGTACTGACGAAAAAAAGGACTACCGTAAAATCCGAAGACATGCCCCACCCGAGAAGAGTAACCCATTCCTATTTCTGGCTCGAAGTGCTATTTCATTTGAAACACCGAAAGATAGCCCACTGATAGTAATCATAGTTTCGGATCAATGATGACCGTGGCGTAAATGCGTCTAGTTAGCTATGGCGAGATGTAAGCGAACACTGCTGATTGGAAAGTACAGTCATCTTCGCTTCATTGCCCCTTGCCGCGACAATAACTTTGCCAGGGACGCACAATAAAAAAATAGCATTTTTTCAACTTGCCTCGACTGCACACCAAAAGTTAGCCCACCCCTCAATTTCACCCAATTTTCTAACTATTTTAGGTCGGCTATCTCTCAGGACTTTACGGTATGTGGGCCAACGTCGACGGACAGACGACGCGGGTCGTTGCCGACGGGGCGCCACGACAGCGACCGAAAGACGAGGCAGGCCCACCTGTAGCGCCTGCAAGGCGAGCCCCTGCATGTAGTAGCAGTCGGAGCGACTGGGGGCCAAACCCTGCAGTATTTCCCTCACCACCCGCGCAAACGACAGCCGCGGAATGAGGAGGTGCGTAGTCCTCTGGAGGTGACGGATGTTCTTCAGCCAGGGTGGGGTGCGATGCTTCGACTTTTGATTGCCCTGGGCAGAAGAGGAGTGGCAACCGCGCTGATTAGCTCCTGCCGATTGACCTCCACCGGGCTAAAGTGTCAACCGCCATTTTTAAAAAGAAAGCTGATGGCGACTTTTTTTCTTCTAAAGTCTTACGCTCCATGAAATGCGGTATTTCAGGAGCGGTCATCTAAATTTGCTTAGAAGACACTTAATGGTTTTCTCGGAAAGAAGCTATACATTTATTAATTTTACCGCTAAACCTGGCGGGAAATGCACCGATGGGCAGACGGATGGGCGAAATCTTGCAATTGGTGGAGCTCCGTTGAAAAGCATTTGGCACCTTCAAAAAAAAGAACTCTAGCGATTTCTGCAGTTAGGCAAATCAATACCAATAAACAAAAAAAAAGCTCTTCTTGCATTGTTGTGCCATAGGTAGACTTAACACAGAATGCATTGCATACTGCTTTGCACTGACACTGCCGGGAGGAACTCTCCACAAGTCTTGCGCCTCGACGGCATGAATGTTGTCGTGCGCTACATCTCTGCAAGAAAGCCCCGCCAAAAGCGGAGCAAGCCTTGCCCGCGCACCGAAAGTGGTCTTTAAGTGGCAATGAACACACCGCGTCTAAGACACCGCCCTTCTGTGATGCCATCGGGTGGAAATCGAGGGACCATTTTTCTTGTGACGCGGTAAATGCGCCGATTGGTGAACTGTTTTACTCCCATCAGGGCGGTGGGAGTAAATGCGAAGTTCGTGCACGCAATCGACAACTACAAGTTACCTGTCTGCTACAATTTCTTAAAATTATGCGATTTCTCGTTTGTTTGAGCAGTATTTATGGTCCGTGGCAGGCCGTGGCTGAAAACAGTTCCGAGATACCGTAATAAAATTAACTTCTTAGGGGAGAGGGGATTCTTAAAAACCCTTACATTTAATGCTTTTTAGAGAACATCGAGACAATGTCTACAGGGCGTCCCAGATTACTTGCACCAAACTTTAAAAAAAGCAAACGGAGTCCTCCAGGGAAGTAAAACCAACTGTACGTCGTTAGCAAGCGTCTTAACATAGTTGCCACATTTTTCTCGATCTGCCCAATTATTCGGTCGATTAAGACCAATTAGCAAACTTCAGTTATTCCTTTAAGGGCTGAGTTGTGAATTGGAAAGCGCCCCATTTCTTTCTTTTACGATTTGGTCCCAGACGCCTGAAATATATATCTTCTAACCTGTTTACAATCCACGCACTAAATACTTTCAAATGGCGCTCATTTACACCTACGCAACGACGCGTTTGATTGCACGGTGCCCCACACACCGTACAAAAATCGCAGGAAGTTGCATCTCTCCATTGTAACCATTACACCCGCTGTTGCCGGGTGCCATTAATGATGCCCGCGAGACAGCCGGGGAAACGTCGCTACTCATGAGCGACGCTCCTTCGGCGGCTTTGGCGCCCGCGTCGCACAGTTTCAAGATGGCGGCACCCATGCAACCGGGTGGGTAAAGATGGGAGCAGAGCACGAAAAATCGTGAGCGCCGACTCTGCCGGTTCCGAGAAAAGGGACGATAAAGACGGCGGCAAAGAAGAGGGGAGAGAAAGCAGACGGAGGGTTAGCCGTGCGCTTTTTTCTGCAGCGACTGGAGGTCGTTGGAGCTCTGGTCGACTTTGTTTTCATGGCATAAACAACGCTGACTTTTTTTTTTTGCATGGCAGGTTTGAAAAGAGGGCAGCTTCGACCTCACCGGCGACGTTCTGGCGCTTCTCCGCGTACATTAAGGAGCTGCCGGCTACACGGGCTTGTCGGCACCTTCCTCCGGTACCTCCGACGTCCGCGTCTGCGCCGCCCCGCCATACCGAAGTGGCCGGGATGCGTGGGTCCTTTTCCTCCTACTCTTGGCACATCTAGTTGAGCGGCTTTAGTGGCCGTATTTTGCAAGATGGCGGCACCCACGCAAAGGCTGCGAGGAAAGGGCCACTTACCTTCCTGGGAGAGGTAGACTTTCGCCTCCTGCCGGGTCCCTTTGATGCCGAAGGCTCCGGTGCCGGTGGATTTGGAGCTCGGCGTGCCGCCGCCGATGGCTGTGCGGGAGCTTGGTGCGCCGGGGTCGGCGGACGTCTTTCTGGCGTGGGTTTGGCCCCTAAAGAGAGGTTAAGGTAAGTAAGAAAAACCCAAAAAACGTAAAAAAAAAATAAATAAATAATAATAAATAAATAAAGAAAGAGTTTTTTCTTTTAGTGTTTTGTTTGAGGTAAGGCAGTCTCGCAAATCCACGTTTGGGAACTGTTTCGGCATGAATTGACAAACGACATAAGCTAAGGCCCCGGCGAGCCAACTAGGGCCTTAAAGGGGTTATGACACGCCAAAAATAAAATATGAGATAATTATACTGCTAGGACCCATTGTATGTTCCTATAATCCTGCTGAATTTGTGTTGAAAATGGCGCGATAGTTTCGTGGATAAATCAATTTATATGCGGGCCCCTGGGAGGGGCAGATCCGGGCAAAGCTGGAGGCTGGCTACGCAGCCAGCCTCCAGCGCGGTGTCTCCTTGCACGCACTTACAGACTTGGCTCTCTTGGCGCATCGAGCCTCAGCTTCCTCGTTTACCTTCCACGTTTCGAGCATGCGGTCCGTGACGATTACGTCTACTGCATCGCTCGCCTTGTCGAAGTGTTCGACATCGATTGCAGCAGCGATGAGAGTGATTGCTATCAAGAGGTGTTGGAAGCTGTTCCTTTTTGACTGCGACCCGCTGGCGACCAGCTTCAGCAACGACGAGTTACGGACGAACTCGCCGTAATCACAGTCGTCCGGAAATATCTCGCAGGCGCATGCAGGGTGGAAGGTCGACGGGCTGGGAGCGAGAGTGAGAATAGCTTTCGGGTTACCGAGTTGCGTGAGCGGTTTTGATTGTACTGCAACGAGTAGAGCTTCGGCGATCATGGGGGCGCCTAGAATGAGAGAGTGTTCATGGTCACGTGGTTTAAGGACACCATGGTGTGACTAACTTGGGCAGTGTTGCCAGGTCGCCAGAGGGAAATGATAAAAATTCGTAAATTGAATGTTGCAGTTACCAGAGCTCTAAAATTCGCGTAACTTGGTGTATATACTAGGCAGACTATGAGCATTTCAAGAATAATCTATTCGTTCAATTTTCGTGTCATAACCCCTTTAACCTGGACACTTGGAGAAAGAGACGACGAGAAATCCTGCGGCCGTTATCGGTCAACGTCGCACTTGACCTTGGGACCGTTCAATCACAGCCGCCAGATTTCTTGCGGACTTTTTCGCCGAGTGTCCAGATCAGGGCCCCTGGAATGTCTGACCGAGGCACGTGACAACGCCCTGTCGATGCACACTCGCTCCGACCTCGCTTGTGGCTCGGTGGCCGCGGAGAGTCAGATGCAGTCGCCGAAGGCTACGAAAAAAAAAGGTGCTTTGCTGTGTAAAAGTGCGCTGTCGTCTTATGTGGCACGATTTGGTCATTTCTCTAAGTAATGGTAGCTAGAAGACAGACAAGGTATAAGTGCCTTACAAGTTGATTCTGTTAAATAGTTTGTCAGCGAGAGTAAATTAACTACCCTGTGGCTACTTGACTTCGTCCAATGTTTGCCACCACCGCTGAAATCAACTGATGCATCTCTGATTACCCCTGGGGCAATGCATACCAGTTTAAAAATAAGTGAACATAAAGGCATCGTGAAAGGCTGGAGGGATTGTCCGGTCAAATTTTGTATTCGAGAAAACAATTGAATATCGTTGTTACTGCCTCGAGATGCATCGTACGTGCAATATCTGAATTTTATATGCCCCTCTGCGTGAGTAATTGAATTTATACTGCTTCAATCGCATTCTAACGTAAACGCTGCTTTCATTGGCAACATTGAAGCTCTGATGTCACAAAACACAAAGCAAGCATTTCTGCCTCGTCGTTTCCCTGCGAGTGAACGCCTAAACGAGCTTCGTTTTTGTTGTTCTGCTCAACTTGTTTCGTGGTTGGGCGAAATTTTTGTTGCGCAATTGGGTGCCACAATCACTGGGCAGCACCTGCGAGCCAAGACATGACATTCCACTCTTTTCCGCGAGACGTACAGTGACGAGCAAAGTGGATCGTTGCCGTGCGTAGGGACTAGGTTCCCGTCAAAATCGAGATCCCGTTTACGCAACAATCATCTCGCAGAAGACAGCTACGAGCTAAACTCTGAGCGGACAAAAGGCTTGTAAGCTGAGGTGCGACGTTGTGCCAACGACATCAAACTACGTCCGTTCAATCCTCGGCCAAATCGGGTCAATTTGATTATGCAGCGAAACCGAAAGCAGCAGCTAGGCCACCTGGAAACGATACCAGAGGTTGTATTTAGAACGCGTGCAGCCCGATTCTGTTTGACCCGCGTGTGAAAATGGAGCGTGACTATGATTCATTAAGCTTGTCGAAGTCAAGTGACGACATGCATTTGAACGATTCGCCATTTGCCTTCAAACCGCGGACGTCGCCTCTAAGGAAATGACCCGCAGCCTCATCATTGCTCCAGCGGATCCGCCGACATGTGTACCCAGATGCCGCTTCAGAGGCGAAATCTGCAGCCTTTGATTTGCAAGCGCCCCTAGTTCGATCGGTGGCCGTCGCAGTTGTGTTTCAGCAAAACGGCATACGTTTGCTCGAAACCTATGGCTGTTTGCGAGTAATATCCTGCTAAAAGGCGTGACTTTTCTTGCACATGCTTGGGAACTGCATTAAAAGAACCGTATTTCAGTAGAGTACAGCCCAGGAGAATATTATTCGAAACAAAATCCAAGACATCCATCGACCAACTCATGAAAGGCTTAATTAACAAAGGGAGATCATATATCAAAATAAAAATGACGTTTGTTACATGAAAGCTTCCTCGATGTAACGAGCGCAAAAGCTTAAGTACTTCCGGTTTCGACCGGACAATACCTTTAACAAGCGCTTGTGTTCTACTTTGAAAGTACAATTTATTTATATTACAGGGAGTTTTGAGAAACGAGCACCATGTTTTTGGTTCGGGTAACTAAACTATGCGTCGAAGAAAGCTCAAACTCCGTGAGAACATGATGCTGGCAGTTGGGATAGAATGTGAAAGCTTGAGAACATGACGTTACCTTCATCAAAAGATAATTGAGAAACAAAATTTCTCTGAGCCAACGTCTACGTAAGCATGATGTTGTTAGAACAAGAAATGACACTCATGTAACATCTATTTCAGTGAAAAAAAGAAAAACTTCTCAGCAAGAAAGAAGATATTGTTTTCTTTCTTGCTGACAAGTTTTTTTCACTAAAATAGATACTACAGGTACCCAGTGTCATTTCTCTTTTTGACAACATAAAGCTTAGCTGGACTTTGGCTCCTAGAGAAATTTTTGTTTTTTTCAATAATCTTTTGATCCAGGCGATGTCCCGGTGTCAAACTTTTGCATTCTATCCCAAAAGCCACCGTCACATTGTCACGAAGTTTGAGCTTTCAGCGATGCTTAGTTTTTGTCTACCCAAGCCGAAAAACATGGTTCTCGTTTCTAGGGAACTTCCTGTACTTTACTTCAAGCACGCTGTGCTTGGTGTACTTCTTGCTTTACCTGAAGTACATAACATCCAACTTACTTTTTTACGTAAAGTACTTTTCAGATGTACTTTACCAAACACTGATTATCTATTAGAAATGGCCGCATATAACAGAGTCAAAACTTTTCAAAGCCAGTGTAGAACGAACAATGTGAAAAACAAGTAGGAAACACAGATGTCAGGAGCATTCCGGGGCCACCCCATAGACGTCGCCATTGCCTTCTCTCGTCGTCAGAGCCATGATGCTGAGAGTTTAGGCATTAATTGGCAAGAATAGGGCTAGAATGAAAGCACGTCATTGGTTGAAATTGGTTCGATGACCTTGGACGCGTTGATTGACAGCATTTGTGACCAACCACCACTCACGAATATTCCTCTAGCAGGGGCAATGAGCTTAACCTATATCCTTCAATCACAATTTCTGGGTAAGGATGTATTCGAGTATTTCATTTCAGCATGCTAGACTTGAAGTTTGCAACTCTTCGCAACCGAAAAGGCAATGCATGCGACGTTCAGAATGCACTTCATCTTTCTTTTGGTTGCAGACACAGCCGCGGCCGAGTGGACGGAAGGGACCGCAGACACAGCTCCGTGGCAATTTGGACCCTAACCCCGAACACGCACCCCACATTCGCAGCTACGCCTCCTGTTTCAGAGAACTTTTCTCGTCAATGTCACCTTCTCTGGCTCAATTAACGGCACTCAGCACCCTGAAACTCCCTACCTCCATCAATCTCTTACCATTATTCATTCATGCACTCTCAGCATCATCCAGAAACTAACAAATACCTGTGCCACGATCGCGCCTCCTTCAAGGTTAACTCCGGTTCTTTTTATTTTGCAGAATCATCACAGGGCGCAGCTTTCGCCGCTCCGCCCTGGTTTCCATCAGGTCCTCCCATTGACCAAACTCTTTCTATGTACAGCCCTGCTCGTTGTAAGAGATCACAAGAACTCATTCGTAAACAAATGCAAGTGTGCAAACCAGCCTTAAAGGGGCCACTAAAGTGGATTTCGAGACTGTCGTTTAATGCTGCGAACCCAACACATGCGCACTATGGGCATCTTACAAAACCCAAAATTGTCATTGTGTGGAACAATTCTTTTTTTACCATTAAAAGAGCAACCAAATGTCTCGACACGCCCCACTTACGAGACATCTTGGAAAAGGGGCGCGCCGCAATGCCCATTCGCGTTTTCAACGAAGAAAAAGGCCACGCATGGCTGTACTTTTGTGTTTTGCGACAAACCTTAGTGTCCCCCTTTAGGGCTGCAAGCCGACCTGTCCTAACCCGCGACGACCCACCTGCGGAACGGCGCTGGACGCTGGGCGCAGACACTGCGGGCCCCTCGTCGTCCCCGGAAGACGGCGAAGACGGTTCTTGTCCCGCCTGCGGAGGTCGTTCCGCCGACGACCTTGCGCCGAAACTCCTCGGGGTCGAGGGACGGCGACCAACGCCCGAAGTCGACGCCTCAGGAACGTCTGCCCTCTTTGAAGACTCCGAGTGCTCGCGCTCTGCGTGGACGGAACGTGCCTCGGATGACTTTGCGGCAGAGCCCCTCGGAGTTGCGGGCTTGCGGCTGCTCGGCGTGCTCCTGCGGAAACGGGGACCGAAGACAATGGTTGGGACTTCACGCGCTGTGTCGAACACAAATGGTTATCACTCCGGTTTGGGGAATCTTAGGGTAAAGTTGGTTTGCAAAGAACAGATTCCTGTGGCATTCTTTGTAACTTGTAACAAACTTTGCAGTTATTAAAAAAAAAAATTTTTTTTCGGCAGTTTGATATTTTAAGTTCCAGGGAATGAAACCAGCCGTCGGATGGCCAACACAACAAGCTTTTCATCTATACTCCATCTGACTAAAACCGTGCAGTACAGCCAAGGCTACACAGAAGAGAGTATTCCTACCTGTTGAAGAGGAGGGAAAGGAGGAAAGGGGGAATCCCAGCTCTTCTCTGCCGTTCCTCCTTTCCCTCCTCTTGAACAGGTTGGCATACACTCTCTTCCTTTTAGCCGTGGCTGTATTGCACGGTTTTAGTGAGACAGAGTATAGGGCACGTCAAAATGTTAGGCGCTGGAGAAAATCGGCCATCTGCCGCAAGTCCTGGTTTTACTCTTTTCATTCACATTCACAAGTTGTCACAAGTTCTGCGAATAACTTATTTTTTTTCTTTTGTATAATGCTGTTAGAAGTTGAATGCATGAAGTGATTACTCAGCGTATCTTTGCATGCAATATCTTTTTGTGTTCTGAATGGATGTCCTGCTGACACATTTTAGACGGGCCCCAGACCTCGTCAAGCTGCCACTGGCAGCTTTTTGTCTAGGGTCTCCGTTGGCTTAAAGGCCATAAATAAAATGATTGATTGATTGATTGATTCAGTTCATTGAAAAGCATGGCTAGAGGGCCCAGGTATGCACCATATATCGCCACGCCACCGTCCACACAATGAAGTCCGTCTGCTGTAGTCACCGGACGTCAATAGACGGGCACTTGAACGCAGCGTCTGAAGTTGGCTACAGCTGCGCCATTTTCCGAATGCCGCCTGCTACCAATGCGGCAATGCTAGCTTGGGCTTCAAGCTAGGCGGACAAACATACCGTGTGGTGTGCAGGGTCCGATCCTGCATCAAGCCTCGTCGAAACCGCCAAGAGTTCGCTAGGCAACCGCTTTACGCAGTCGGCATCGATCTACACACCAGCGCGTCCGACTTTGGCCAGCGTTTCGGCATTCACATTAGAAGACAACATCTGGAAGATGGCGTCTCCCATTGCTGGCTTCAGACGTTGCATTCGCACATTCTTCCATAATGAAGACACTGCGTTGCCACGGTGACAGAGTAGGACTTTATTGTGCGGAAGGAGGTAGCAGGGTGGCTAGATTGGACGCATACTTCGGCTCTTTTGCTGTGCTTTTCGGTGGATGGAACATGAACACAAAAAAATTAGTTGTTTGTTCATGTTCACAAATCGTTTAAAACGTTTAGAAATCTTAGAGTGCAGCTCTTAAGGAAGAGGAGGGAAGGGTATGCCCCTGCTCCTCCTCCTCCCGCTAAATTTGTTAATGGGTCACTTGACACAAAGTCATGTGACGTCATTTTCGCCGCTAGATTAATAATAACGTTATCGAAGCCTTTATTCGAGTAAGACGTTATTGACAGGGAACTAGCTCAACCATTGAAGCTAGCTGTGTTATCGTGTTGCCGGCCCGAAATTCGCTCAGCCAGCAATCAGGGCAACACATGTTGTCCAACACAAGTTGTGGCTGTTTTTGTTGCCGAAAGCTGTCATACCAAGGCAACATTTTCTCTGCCGCCCATGTTGTCCTGCTGTTGCCGCGATGTGACAGGTTTGTCAGACAACATGGAGAGCGAGCAACAAGTTGCCCAATTCTTTGGGGTTAAGATATTCGCATAGTTTGGGGCCATTTGCGAATATCTTCATGGGCAATCTAGAATCTAATTTTCTTTCAAGCTGCCCCCTTCAACCAATGTTTTATAAGAGATTCATGGATGATATATTTATAATCTGGCCACACAAAGAGGACGCGCTGCTTAGCTTCATCGAAGTTTTTAATTTTGTGGACCCTTCTAATTAGTTTTTCTCAATTATTCCAAAACCGAAGTTAATTTTCTAGACGTCAGGGTAATAGTTGAGGGCACAAAACTAGTCGCTCGACTCTATCAAAAGCCGACTGACCGTCAAAAATACTTGCACTTCGACAGTGGCCACCCACATCCTTGCAAAACCAGTATACATGGCTTGCACATGACGTCATTCAAAAAGCGGTTCGATGACCACCAGAGAAGAGGGGAAGAAGGAGCTCCCCTCTTAGCAGGATCCAGGCACGTAGCCAGAAGTTTGTTTCGGGGGGGGGGGGGGGGGGGGGGGGGGGGGCGCCCATGACAAAATGCTGTATGAGGGGGAGGGGGGGAGAGAAGTTCCCAGCAAAATGGAAGATTTTGGGGGGGGGGGGGGGCCGGGCCCCATGGGCCCTCCCCTGGCTACATGCCTGGCACGATCCTCTTTTGTGCCTCCCGGATTTGCACCGACGTCGCTATTTTCCTCCCAAAATTAACCCGTTACTCAAAGTTCTTACAAAAGCAGCTTCCCTCTCCTCATCTTACATGGTAGTCAAAAGTATGCAATGTGACGTCAGTGCAAGCCATGCATAACTTATAGTCAGGCACATAGGTTCAAAAGCGTGCGTTCATACCACGGTTCAAACAACGACGGCTCCAACGCTAACCAACTACGAGAAGTATTAACAGAACAGAAGTACCCTGAACTAACTATAGACAATGTTCCAAGAGCAAAAAAAATCATTTTTTAAGTATCGCAGTGGGTTGCAGAGAGCGTTGAGAGAGGGCTAAACTCTCCTACGAAAACTCAGAATTCTCCCGGGTCCCAGCAGAATAGACACTGCCTATGTTTTATGTCCGCACCCACCTCCGTAGAATATGCAAGCTGCGTAAAGGTCCGCCACGAGGGGGGCTTACCAGAAAGATGCTGCTTTGGGCTGTGAAGGCCGTCGCGAAGCGTCTTCTGCTTCCGAGCTTGCCTCAGACAACAACGACGGACTGTCTTGCTCCTGGTACTGCCATCGCTTCGGAGGGTGGGCCTCTCGCGGAGGAAGTTGGGGAAAGATGTCGTATTCATAACAGTCCGGCTCCCGTCGCCTTCGGGCGTCCCCCGGTTCGCTGCCTAGCAGCCGGTCACCCGGTTGGTACCGGCGTGAAGCCATCGAACTCCTCGGGGTCGAGGGACGGCGACTAACGCCCGAAGTCAGCGCCTCGGGAACGTCTGCCCTCTTTGAAGATTCTGAGGGCTCGCGCTCTGCGTGGACGGAACGCGCCTCGAACGACCTTGCGGCAGAGCTTCTCGGAGTTGGGGGCTTGCGGCTGCTCGGCGTGCTCCTGCGGAAACAGGGATCAAAGACGATGGTTGGGACTTCACGCGGTGCGTCGAACACAAATGGTCATCGCTCCGGTTCGGGGAATCTTAGGGTAAAGTTGGTTTGCAAAGAACAGATTCCCGTGGCATTCTAGGTAACTTGTAACAAACTTTGCAGTTATTCAAAAAAAAAATTTTTTTTCGGCAGTTTGATATTTTAAGTTTCAGGAAATGAAGTCAGCTGTCGGATGGCCAACACAACAAGCTTTTCATCTATATTCCATCTGACTAAAACTGTGCAGTGCAGCCAAGGCTACACTGTATCCCTACCTGTTGAAGAGGAGGGAAAGGAGCAAAGGGGGAATCCCAGCCCTTCTCTACCGTTCCTCCTTTCCCTCCTCTTGAACAGGTTGGCATACACTCTCTTCCTTTTAGCCTTGGCTGTACTGCACGTTTTTAGTGAGACAGAGTGTAGGGCACGTCAAAATGTTAGGCGCTGGAGAAAATCGGCCATCTGCCGCAAGTACTGGTTTTACTCCTTTCATTCACGTTCAGTCCATTGAAAAGCATGGCTAGAGGGCCCAGGTATGCACCATATGTCGCCACACCACCGTCTACACAATGAAGTCCGTCTGCTGTAGTCACCGGACGTCAATAGACGGGCGCTTGAATGCAGCGTCTGAAGTTGGCTACAGCTGCGCCATTTTCCGAATGCCGCCTGCTACCAATGCGGCAATGCTAGCTTGGGCTTCAAGCTAGGCGGACAAACATACCGTGTGGTGTGCAGGGTCCGATCCTGCATCAAGCCTCGTCGAAACTGCCAAGAGTTCGCTAGGCAACCGCTTTACGCAGTCGGCATCGATCTACGCACCAGCGCGTCCGACTTTGGCCACCGCCTCGGCATTCACGTTAAATGGCGTCTCCCATTGCTGGCTTCAGACGCTGCATTCGCACATTCTTCCACAATGAAGACACAACTTTGCCACGGTAACAGAGTAGGACTTTATTGTGTGGAAAGAGATAGCAGGGTGGCTAGATTGGATGCATACTTCGGCTCTTTTGCTGTGCTTTTCGGTGGATGGAACATGAACACAAAAAACATTAGTTGTATGTTCATGTTCACAAATCGTTTACAAATCTTAGAGTGCAGTTCTTGAGGAAGTTCTTACAAAAGCAGCTTCCCTGTCCTCTTCTTACATGGCGGTCAAAAGCATGCGATGTGACGTCAGTGTAAGCCATGCATATCTTATAGTCAGGCCCACAGTTTCAAAAGCGTGCGTTCAAACCACGGTTCAAACGACGACGGCGCCAACGCCAACCAACTACGAGAAGTATTAAAAGAACAGAAGTACCCTGCAAGAAAAATAATTTTGTACGTATCGCAGCGGGTTGCGGAGAGCGTGGAGAGAGGTCTAAACTCACCTACGAAAACTCCGAATTCTCCCGGGTCCCGGCAGAATAGACACTGCCTATGTTTTACGTCCGCACCCACTTCGGTAGAAGATGCAAGCTGCGTAAAGGTCCGCCACGAGGGGGGGCTTACCAGAAAGATGTTTGTTTGGGCTGTGAAGGCCGTCGCGAAGCGTCTTCTGCTTCCCAGCCTGCCTCAGACAACGTCGACGGACTGTCTTGCTCCTGGTACCGCCATCGCTTCGGAGGGTGGGCCTCTCGCGGAGGGAGTTGGGGAAAGATGTCGTATTCATACCCGTCCGACTCCCATCGCCTCCGGGCGTCTCCCGGTTCCCTGCCTAGCAGCCGGTCCCCCGGTTGGTATCGGCGTGAAGCCATCACCGCGCGACCGATGTGACTACGTCAACTACGTCAACTACGTCTGCCACAATCGGCGAAAATCCCGCCAGACGCCTGGATTTTGGATTGGATTGGATTGGTCCGTTATAGACCCTTCCCCTGGCAAATGCCGAGCCTGATCTCTATTAGACCTATTAGACCTGTGCGCCGGTCAGAAATCGCCGGCGGCGGCGCGCCGGTGTTTGTACCTCCGGCGGCGGCGTGTTGACGGCGCGGGGATCAACGGACCGGCGGCGGCGTGGCGTGGAAGAGGGAGGGGAGGAGGGGGGTGTAAATTAGAGAGTGAGGAGGAGAGAGAAAGGAGTCGTTTGAATTCGGAAAACAAGATGAAAATAACCATAAAAAGGAACACGCTTTTTTTTTTTTTTTTTGAGGAGTGCGTTTGTTAGATTGTAAGAGAATATGTCACCGGCTGGCAGCCGCGGCGCAAGATATTTCGCAAGATGATGACCGACGACAACAGGTATTTTATCACCGCGTTCCACCCCACCACGCGCTTGTCGCACGCCCCGTGCCTAACAAGTCGACCGAGCACGTTTTTCGATTTATAGAACTCGTACTCTCATTTGATACGCCGCAAGCAGTCATCACCGACAACGACAGGGTCCTAACCTCTCGTTCGGCTTCGCGGTACTTCGTCGACAGGCACATTCAGAGCATCCCTAACAGTACTTTACGTCCCCGAAGCTAACGGCTTTGTCGAACGCGTCAACGGAAAAATCCTTCCATGTCTGCGCGAAAGAACGTCAACGGCGACATCGACCATTGGAGCGATTATCTCCAGGCAACCAGCTTTCAAGTGAACCAGCAGCCGTACGCCGGACTCCAGACATCACCGTTCGAACTCCTGTTCAACTTTGTCCCACGTCGAGCAATGGAATTTTCCCCGCTTCCCGACGAGGTCGGCGACGTCCCGCGCGAACTGCGACGCTGCAAACGCGAACCTCGCTTACCTTCACAGCATGAAGCGTTCCTACGATGCAAAATATCGACCATGCTCCATACAGGGTCAGGGACAGGGTATGGTACACGAACGGCGTTCCTTCCTCGAAACTTGGCCTGCTTTTCCATGGACACTTAATTCATCACCAACGTGAACAATCAAACCTACACCATTTCCGGGTTTACCCCGCAAGGCACACCGGATTGCCGCCAAGCTGCCGCACGATAGCTCTTTTCTTTCTTTTTTTTATTTTTTTGTTTCACGAACAACCTGCAGCGATTGACGTCGATTTCAACCAACTCGCCTTGCTCCGCAGCAGATCTTCCGATTACAAGCGCATCACGCCGACGCTGCCCTCCACGATGGATAGACGCATAACAGAGGATCATGACAACATCTACAAAATGTGCGAGGGTGCAAGGATTTTGAGCTCGGGAGTGTAAGCAAATACTTTGGCGGCAAAGACCGGTAAGGAGAGCCTCCCCGACTCGACCGGATGAGGGCTCGACTTCGACCCCCGATGCTGGATCCCGGCGTGGAAACGAGAAAGAAGGACCCCCAGAAACACGATGTGACAGGAACAAGCCAGGCGTGTGGATCAAAATAAAATACGTTTGAAAGAAGCCTGAAAAACGGACGCGAATATAGCCCTTTTGTATCAAATTATTTCACAAAAATTTCATTTAAATCGTTTTGCGGTCTACAAAACCGTTCATTCCGTTATAACACTTTAAAAACACAGGCGAGCTGGTGAAGAACTTCCATAGTAACGGGAGACACGAAACGATAAAAATAACGCACAAGACAACAAGTCTCAAACACAGGTTTTATACCCGTTTTCACATCAAGAACTCTAGTAAAGAGAGTCCGACTCCTTGCGAACCATTACTAATTTCCACCTTTATGTGGAGAATTAAGATATATGTAGCTGGATTCTACTATATATATGTTATCAAGACGTACACGTTCCAGTGCCAAAATCATCGCTTTTTTCTCCGACAACCAAATCTCGTAAGACTTCGCGTCGCGTATACGAACATCTTTGTTTCATGTATGTGCGCTCCCCCTCTGTAATGCCTTCGGGCCCTGAGGGTACTTTGATAAATAAATAAAATAATAAACAGTTTATTTGAATAAGGAATTAACGCTCTTATATATACGTCAAGGCCCTCACAACCAAAAAAGAACTCTTTAAAAAAAAGGGTATCACCATACACCCTTTTGTCCCATATAACGCACCCCAAAACTTTAGTTTGACGCACAGCGCACAGACGGCGACACGTTTTACAAGGGGCTTGATAACGGAGCGATATAACTGATTAAATAGCTAAAGTACGTATCAAAGACCACAGAAAGAAAACACTGATGTTTCGCAGCCCCGATTATTATTATTATTTTTTTTTTTTTTTGTAGTCAGTAAAACGTACATTAGCTATTTTAATAAGTTGTACCACACGGCTATCAAGCCTCTCGTGAAAGTTAGTACCGTCATATCGACGTCTGAAGTTTTGGGGTGTCTTATATGGGACAAAAGGTGTAAGAATACACCCTTTTTTTAGAGTGTAGGTCACTGAAAGCCGGACATTCAGGCAGATCCAAAAGATTCATGGTCACACTAACCTGCCACCCAGACGACCCCGCTTGATGACTGACCAGCCATATATGCGATAACAGGCAACTCCATCAGAACCCTTACTAATATATGATACACGCGTGACGAGATGTCCCTACAGCGTGCAATTCGCCAAAACGTGCGTCCGTGAAACGTGTGCCCATGAAATGTTGTCTGCGATAATTAATTCCACGAAACGAGTTTCGACAAAATGAGAGGGTCCCTACACCACTCCTGCCTGAAAAGTTACATCTGGGTTCTTATGTTTTTTTTTCTGGCGCCCCTGAAGACCACCAGAAAGGGGGTTGACCTTTCTAATTTGTGCTGAGCTTTGAAAACTAAATTTACACCGATCGCCACTGATATAAAGTTATGAGAGATTCCATGGTAGTAAGGCACACACACGACATTCTTCACAGCCGGTTTTTCCACGGGAGCCGGATTAAACCTTCAGCACCTTGAGCACAACTCTGACAATTACATCATTGTGATGGCCCGCTTCCAAACGACGCATCTTTTGCAACTCAACTACCTCACCAACCCAAAACATACGGGATTCTTTACAAGCGTTATCCATCGCAGACGCAATTACACCACTCTTAACTATTTTCAAGTGACAGCTCTCAGCTGCCAACAGAAGCTTGGCTGATTCCTTGCCGTACATCCAGCACAGGCCCTTTTCCGTGTGCAACAGTAGGTCTATAAGTATTTAATTTGACTGTTGCGATGGCAGGGTTTTGCGGTCCAATCGACAAGGACCGCACAACCGTGTCAACGTGTACATAAGTCTCGTTTAAAAAAAATCTCGGACAACACTGGAGCAATTCACGACCCGATACACACACCCTGTTTTTGAATAAAAAGAGAACCATCAAAGTCTACGGCAGTGGACTCTAAATGAAACTCCAGAATGCTGATAAAACTATCTACATCAATCCCATTGGCAGACTGCAGCTTCACTAGATTATCATCACACCACCTCCTGACCCTTATTAACAGCTTCGACTTATCCATAGAGTAACGTAAGTCCTTGATGTCTACAGTTGTCACATCGCACCTTCTCCCATGATGCGGATTCAATATTTCAATCAATTGCTCAGAGTTTTTGAGTGACAATGGGCTGTTGCTCCACTCCTGTCAGGCATTTCTAGATAAAAACCGACAACACCTTCTGCCAAACTCAATTTTCGTTCACAACCATTTGAACAATTACACCAGGATGGGATTGTTACAGTTGTGCTCAAGGACCTTGAGCACAACTGTAACAATCCCATCCTGGTGTAATTGTTCAAATGGTTGTGAACAAAAATTGAGTTTGGCAGAAGGTGTTGACGGTTTTTATCTAGGTGTAAGGAACGTACGTTTAATCCGGCTCCTGTGGAAAAAACCGGTTGTAAGGAATGTTGTGTGTGTGTGCCTTACTACCTTGGAATCTCTCATATCTTGATATCAATGGCAGAGAGGTTCGGTGTAAATTTAGGTTTTAAAGCTCAGCAGAAATTAGAAAGGTTAACCTCCTTTTCGGGGTAGTCCTCAGGGGTGCCAGAATAAAACACGTGCACAACACGTGCCGGAACTATTGATGGCGTCCGCCTCAATTATCTCTCTGACAGTCTTATCTGTGTGCCTAGCGAGAACAGTGGAGGAAGCAAATAATGGTTTGCACCTGCAGTCATGCGTGGTTTCAATTGACTTTGCAGAAAAAGAGATAGCTTATTTGCAGTCCGCGGCGGGGCCACGGATTGGTTGCGATGTGGTGTGGTGACGCAGTGTGTATCTACGCTGAGGCGCTTGGATTAAATCAGTTGAAAGTAAGCGCTCTGTGGTGTTCTTCCTCTGTCTATGTCTTAAAGCGCAATCATGTTTTCTCACGCACAATACACACTCGCCCAACAATCAGCAATGGTAGGAGAGTTCTGAGGGAGACCATGCGTATTTTGACCTCTGGTAATTGAGCAAGCACACTGTCCTTGGCATTGGACAGTGATATGAAGCGTTTTTTTGTGTCTGTTTTCTCAGAATTGTAAGGGCTGTGCTGGAGCTGGAGTTGCCTGTTATCGCATGTGGCTGGTCAGCCCTCAAGCGAGGTCATCAAGGTGGTGTAAATCATTTAGATATGTCTGAATCATGAATCATATGGGTTCTGTCTGAGTGTCCGGCTCTCGGTGACCTAGTGAAGGGGAGGTGTCTCTTTTTTGGTGGTGAGGGTTTTGAGGGATATGTAACAACGTTCGTTGTTCAAATAAACTACAGACGGTGTTTGAGACTTGTTGTTTTGTCCGTTTTTTTTTTTTTTTGTTCTGTGTCTTCGTTTTTTATGGAACTTCTACATCTATTGATATATTTACAGGAGTAAAAATGAAAGGCAAAACAATCTATTCATTTTTTATGCATAATATAGTACGTAAACCCCATATAGAAGCAGCAAAAAAAAAAAAAAACGCCAATACCACCCCCCCCCCATAAAAAAAAAAAAAAAAAAAAAAAAAAAAAGATGGCGGCGCCGGCGGCGCGCCGGATTTATTGTGCGGCGGCGGCGGCGGCGTGCTGGATCTGGGGAACCCGGCGGCGGCGCAGGGCGGCGAGAGC